GCAGAAGTAGATTCATGCCCACAACTTGTGACAGCACCGACCCCATGTCTGCAAAGTCAACACAGAAAAAAAAAAATCAGCCTCTAAAAACACTAGGCTTTATGTATCAGCATATTCATTCCTTCTACCCAGCGATTTGATTTCTGGGAATTACCTTACAGGAATCCTCTGAATGGGCAGGCAGCTGTGTGTAGTAGGAAAGACCATGGAGCCTCTTATCTCAGAGAAGAACAGAAATAAGCCCAATACACAGCAAGGGAATGGGTGAGTGGAATACTGGGCAATCCCGTGGTGTGATATTGCAGAGCCGTTCAGAAGATGCTCACGATGCGTTAGTGGTAATCTGAGGAATGTTTCTAGGGATGGCAAATCATCACATATCACCACTGATTATCAGACACGCCGTGATATCATGTAGCAGGAAGGCAGGAAAAAAATATCCAGGGTGGGTTATCTAACAAGAGGTATCTAAGTAAAGGAAGCTAGAACCCCAAAGGGCTATTCCCCAAATGCAAGGGGGTTGAAAAAGCCCTTTTGGGCAGCAAGTATGTCTTATCCTTGCCCTGAGTGCAGGGAGGGAACAAAGTAGCCCTTGAGAATGTGAGGAAGCCTGTACTCACACAGGTTGGAGTCCAAACACCTCCAGCAAATGCTGAAACTGAATTTAAATTTAATGTAAAGTCTTCTCAAGTTGGCAGTGCCCCCAGGTGACTGTCAGAAGCCATCGGGAACCCTCTTTGGAAGAGGGGAGTTTTCAACAGGCTGACGGCCCCTGTAAAACACCATCAGTTGTGCAGTGCTAGATCCAGAGATGTTAGAATGTGAAAATAAGCCAGTCTTAGGATTAATGTTAAGCAAAAAGCAGAAGAAAATGGCACGTGGGCAATGGCACGTTGTAGAGACTACTAACTGGAAGGAAACACAGTAAAATGTTAACAGGGATTTTCTGCATCTTAGTTGTTAAGATTAGAAGGTTGTTTTTTTTCTTTCTTTAAATGACTACATTTTCCCGATTCTCCTAAAGAGCCTATGTGTTTAGTGACCATACAGGAAACAGAGGAGAAATAAATCAGGGTGATATAAGGAGGGAGGGGGTGACTTCAGGTGGGGTGGTCAGGGAGGGCGCCCCGGAGGAGGTGACACGCCAACCGAGAAGGAGCCAGCATTGGAGAAGCTGTAGGAACTGCTCATGCTGCATCCCATGTCAGGATGGAGCTTGAATCACAAGGCAGATGCCTGAAACCTATTTGTTAACTGAACACGGGAATTAAGCAGTAGTTGCTAAGTCTCAACGGGTCCCAGCCAGAGTCTGCAGTCTCTTCAGTGGGGCCATTCTCACCAGACCAAGCTGATGAACAGGGCCAGGATACCCGCCGGACCAAGGGCAGGGCTCAGCAGAGAACTGCGGTCAGGGTGTCGGGCCTCAGTTTTCCCACCCAGAAAATGAGGTTGGTGCCTTTGCCACCAGAGCCCCTCAAAGTCAGCTTCCGATGACCCAGCGCTTTGAAATATTGAGCCTGGTGCAAGCATGAGGGGCTGGCGAGCTCCAGGAGGTCCTCGAGAGGGCCCAGGGACACTTCCCGGCAAACCTGACACCCAGGAGCTTTAGACAAGCTGCTTTGCCTCACACAGCTGACCTTGCTCCACGCTCAGCAAGCAGGAAAGATGCCGCATCAGCTCCAGCTCCAGCTCCAAACTTCCTGGCCGCTGGTGCGCAGGCCTGAGCTGGATGCTGCGGAGCCAGAGAGGAGACACGGGCCCTGCCCTCGGGAGTCACAGTGCACCTGGTGCGGGGGGGGGGGGGATCGCGATGCCCCCACATGTGACTGACCTACCACACAGCAGGGAAAACAGGCCAGGAGGGGCTCACTCCATCTGCTGCCCAGGCAGAAACAATAGCTGCCAAAGGGCTACAGGAATTGGGCAAATTCTGGGTGCGGGTACATTGTTTCATTTTGTCCTTAAAAAATTGTGAGGTTATCACCATTTCACAGATGGGGGCCAAGGCTCCATTCCTTGTCAAGGTCACAGAGGTTGGAGATGGCCAGCCTTGTGAGAACTCCTGCCTTGGCCTGAGGGGTTCTGGACTCTATGCCCCTAGCCCACTGGCACCCTGACCGGTGTGTGTGTGTGTGTGTGTGTGTGTGTGTGTGTGTGTGTGTTGGCAGCAGGAGAGGCAGAAGGAGGGGCAGGTGGTTACCGCAGGCAGGGGCGAGGGGCCAGGGGACCGTGGCTGAATCCCGAATCCCACTCATGTTCGAAGTGCTCAGGGGAAGTGGCTCAGTGACCCAGGTGTCACCAAGGGAACCCGGCATTGTCACCCTGGCCTGTGTGTGGAGGGTACTCAGCAAGGGCTCCCTGTGGCTCTCCCAGAGGAGCAGCCCCTCATGGAGCTCAGAGGATGAAGGCCAGAATGGAAATCTAAAGATGCCCTGGCTGGCTCCATCAGTAGAGGATGCGACTCTTTTTTTATTTTTAAGATTTTATTTATTCATGAGAGACAGAAAGAGAGAGGCAGAGACATAGGCAGAGCGAGAAGCAGGCTCCCAGAGGGGAGCCTGATGTGGGACTCGATCTCAGGACCCCAGGATCACAACCTGAGCTGAAGGCAGACGCTCAACCACTGAGCCACCCAGGAGCCTCAGAGTATGCGACTCTTGATCTCAAGGTCATGACTTCAAGCCAAGTTGGGCATGGAGCCTACTTTACAAAGAATTAAAAAGAAAAAAAAAAAAGTCGCGGCATTCCCATGGGTCCTCTGTGCATGCAAACACTAACCGAGATGCTGCTGTGAAGGGACCTTGCAGATGGAATGAAGTTTACAAATAGGTTGACTTTAAAATAGAGAGATGATCCTGGATCATCTGGCGGGGCCCAGTGCAATCCCATGAGCCCTTAAAAACAGAAAAGGGAAGGTGACTCAAACTCAAAACTCCCTTCCTGGATGAGAAGCAGGCACCAGTCTTTGAGGAGCTCTACAGAGGGAAAACACACTCTCTTCACCACAGAGCTGGCAGCAAAGGCCCTGAGGTCATCCACCCAGGGAGGAGGCTGGGAAGGATTTCTGACTGCTCCAACAGGGTCCAGAGGACCGCCTCTGGCCCCCTTCCTGCGGAGCTGCCTGCCGGCAAGCCCTCCCCTCCTCAGGCTTGACATCCCCAGTGTGGTAGTATAAACAGCTCACATTTCTTTAAATGCAAACTGCTTTCCATGCATTGATTCATCTGATCCTCAAAACAAGTCTCCGTGATTTTTTTAGCCCATTTTCATAGTTGAACAGGTATAAAGGTTTTGAATTTTAAGTTGTTTTAACCAGCAAATCCCTTCTTAAAAGTAAACAGTAAAAGAAAAACCAACATGTAAAACAGATTAGAGCAACTCTGGATGGGGGAAAGGCTAGAGCTCCACTTAGCTAACATCCCCCCCCCCAACAACAATGACACCCAGAGGGTTCTTTAGAAACCAGGGGCCCTGAAGATACATCTAAGAGGCCTGGCGGGACTCACTGGTTGGGAGTTCCTCCTCCAGGACCACCCAATTGCCTTTAGCTGACGTGGAAGGTGGAGAAGTCGTAGGGAGATCTTTGAGGGCTATAGGACTGTCCACGTCACACCATGCTTCACGAGCATCCTGATGCTGACCTGGAAAAGCCAGCTCCTGGATCCGGACCATGGCCCCTACCTCCTGCAGGAAGCCCTTACTGTTACCCCAAAGAGACCCTGACTGACATGTTTCTCTGATGTCCTTTCCCTCAGACCCCAGTACCTGAGGATCAACATTCCATTCCTGCTGCAAGGGATGGACCGCAAGGGACGGGTGGGGATCTAAAAGGCAGAAGGATGAGCAACCGGGGCTCTGCTGGGCAGGTGATGAATGCAGGAGAGAGGGAGGGGTGCTTGGGGGTCTGCCAAGTGGGCACGAGAGAAGGGAGTGCCCCAAATCGCAGACCTGCTGCAACATGGCTGGCCCACGAAAACCGCCCAACAGCCCAGGAAAGCCAGGCTGAGACAGACCAGGGTGCATCGCTGAGGTCTCGCAGCTGATGGGCGGCAGAGCCTAGACTAGAACCCAGACTTCCTGACTTCTCGGGTCCAGTGCCCGCCTCCCAACATCGCGCTGCGACGATCGGACTCAGGCAGGGCGAAATAAGTAAAACTGAGGATTCGACGAGGCTTAGAAGTCTGCGTTTCATTCTGCTCGGGACCTGGCAGGTGCCCTGGGGCAGGAAGCACCTGCTCCCGGAGGCTTTGCCGGGGGGGGTAGGGGGCGTAGGGGGCGTAGGGGTCTGACACCCTCCCCAGCAGCTGCCTCGCCCTCTGGGGTGAGAGGGGCTGCCACCGGGCGCGGTGCCTCTGCCGGCTCACGGCGGCGTCCGGGCAGCGCCCGCCCCACCGCGCGGCCCTCCCCGTCGGCGCGGGGTAAGCGCTGCCTCCGGCACACGCCCGGCGCACTCACGTCTCCACGGGCACGCCCCGCCCCGCCCCGCCCCGCCCCGCGCTCACGGTAGCGGCGCCCACCCCACCCCGTCCGCCCGGCGCCGGACCTCCCAACGCTGCCCCGCCCGGGAGGAGGAGGCCGGCGAGGGCAGGACCCCGGCGGCCGCCCCGCCCGCCCCGCCCCGCCCCGCCCCGCCCCGCCCCGCCGGGCCCTGCCTCTGGGCCGGCCGGAGGATGTGAGCTCACGCCCGCCTCCCCGCTGCCGGCGCCGCCAGGAAGCGCCCGCCGACGTCCGCCGACCGGCCGGCGGGGGTGCCAGCGGCGCGCCAGGCCCCGCCCTCCCCGCGCCGCATCCGTAGCCGCTTCCCGGGAGGGGACGGAATGAAGGCGGGCGGCGGGGCCGACGCCGCGCCCCGCTCCTAGGCGCCGCGCAGCCCCCGGCCCGAGAGGCGCGGGCGGGGCGCGGGCGCGGGCGGGGCGCGGGCGCAGGCGCAGGCGCACGCCCGCCCCCGCGCTTCCGGCCGGGCCACGTGACCGCGCGCGCACGTGTTCCGGCCGCTCGGCGCCGCCGGTCGGGACCTCCTCCGGGTGCGGCCGGGCCGCTGCCCACCGTCAGCTCCGGCAGGCGGGGCGGGAGGCGACGCGGCGCCCCCGGAGCCGGGCGGAGCGGCGGGCGCGGGGGGCTGGCGGCGGCTTCGCCATGAACCCCAGGGGCCTGTTCCAGGACTTCAACCCGAGTAAGTTCCTCATCTACGCCTGCCTGCTGCTCTTCTCGGTGCTGCTGCCGCTCCGCCTGGACGGCGTCATCCACTGGAGCTACTGGGCCGTCTTCGCCCCCATATGGCTGTGGAAGCTGCTGGTGGTCGCCGGCGCCTCCGTGGGCGCAGGCGTCTGGGCGCGCAACCCCCGCTACCGCACGGAGGGGGAGGCCTGCGTGGAGTTCAAGGCCATGTTGATCGCCGTGGCCATCCACCTGCTGCTGCTCATGTTCGAAGTCCTGGTCTGCGACAGGGTGGAGCGGGGAACCCACTTCTGGCTGCTGGTCTTCATGCCGCTCTTCTTCGTGTCCCCGGTGTCCGTGGCCGCCTGCGTCTGGGGCTTCCGACACGACCGCTCGCTGGAGCTGGAGATCCTGTGCTCCGTCAACATCCTGCAGTTCATCTTCATCGCCCTGAGGCTGGACAGGATTATCCACTGGCCGTGGCTGGTGGTGTTCGTGCCCCTCTGGATTCTCATGTCGTTCCTCTGCCTCGTCGTCCTCTATTACATCGTCTGGTCCCTCCTGTTCCTGCGGTCCTTGGATGTGGTCGCCGAGCAGCGGAGGACACACGTGACCATGGCCATCAGCTGGATAACGATTGTCGTGCCCCTGCTCACTTTTGAGGTTCTGCTGGTTCACAGATTGGACGGCCACAATACCTTCTCTTACATCTCCATATTTGTCCCCCTTTGGCTCTCTTTGATAACTTTAATGGCCACGACGTTTAGGCGAAAAGGAGGCAACCATTGGTGGTTTGGTATTCGCAGAGATTTCTGTCAGTTTCTGCTTGAAATTTTCCCCTTTTTAAGAGAATATGGGAACATTTCCTATGATCTGCATCACGAAGATAGTGAAGATGCCGAAGAAACATCAGTTCCAGATGCTCCTAAAATTGCTCCGATGTTTGGAAAGAAGGCCAGGGTAGTTATAACCCAGAGCCCTGGGAAATATGTCCCCCCACCTCCCAAGTTAAATATTGATATGCCGGATTAAACAACTCTTCTGGAGAGCACCCATCTGCCAAACAGGAACCGTATAGACACATGCAAAATCCACCCTATTTTTGCCTTTGTTCATCCTTCCCAAACTTGTAACTGAAAATAGGCTCCAAACACCATTATCTCATGCCTTGTTTGAGATTGACGTCTGTCAGTCACTCATCAGTATGCACCATAGATGTAGGAGGTTGTTTTAATATATGGCGCTGTGTGTGTGTGTGTGTGTGTGTGTGTGTGTGTGTGTGTGTGTGTGATGTGTGGTGTATACGTGTGAGAGAACTTGCTTTCCAGGCTGATGCTTTAAAAGCTGGTTTGGGAGCAGTCAGTTGAAGAGGAGGTCCTCAAATGAAATAAATACACAGTTGGGTTTTTTTTTTTTTTTAACGGTACTCCGCCTATGGAAAGTATTGTTTAAAAGTATTTTTATACACTGCTAGTCTCGAGTTGTATTTCAGATCGTGCCTGTTGTGACATAATAGCAAATGTAAAGAATTCTCTTTCCCACCACTTGTTTATAAGCCTTAGAGTTATTTTTAGCGTTCCTACTGTTAAAATAGTTTTTCTTTGGGCTTTGCTGATACTGGTCTTTAATATCAGAAAAGGTGAATTTTTCTAATGAAATGAATCCATGCATATGATATTTATATGAATATTTTAGCAATGTAATATATGTTATGTTGAATTCTAGTTCTGTGCGTTACTGTATTCTAGTTACTGTGCGTTAATGTATTACGTTAAAGTATTTTTTTAAGTATATATGTGAAGATACATGTCTATTGTAGATGTCCTTAAAGATTGCATAAACCAGTAATAGGTGCCCAATGTAAGATCCTCTCAAAGTATTAGGTGTGAATAGGGATCAAAATCCCACGTATCTTAATATTCAGGTATTAGATGACTCAGTCTACACAATTTTAAGGTTTCTGTTAGTAGAGGGAGGAGCCCCATCCTTTGGGGGGGACATGCTCCAGAGTGTTACCAGGCCATAAGGTGACACTGTTATTTAGCACCTTGAATTTTCCCACATGGTTAGTAACACCTCCTCAGTGACAATCAAAATTAGCAACAGGTGATTTGTTCATTAAGAGTCTTAGGATATTACTGGGCTATAATAATAAAAAATGTTACTTGTCACCAGAATGCTGAAGAGAGTGGCTTTAACCAAAAAATGGCCAACAAGATTAGGTATTATTTCAAGGCCCAGACTTTTTCATCTGTCAGCAATAGGGAAAGAATAGTTGAGGTTATTTTTTTTTAATTTTTATTTATTTATGACAGTCACACACACAGAGAGAGAGAGAGAGAGGCAGAGACACAGGCAGAGGGAGAAGCAGGCTCCATGCACCAGGAGCCCGACGTGGGATTCGATCCCGGGTCTCCAGGATCGCGCCCCGGGCCAAAGGCAGGCGCTAAACCACTGCGCCACCCAGGGATCCCAGTTGAGGTTATTTTTAAAAGAAGTACAGGGTACTAACTTAGTGACTTAGTGGTACACCAGGGAAATCAGAAAGGCAAAACCCAGATTCTGGGAGAAGAGTGTTCTCCTGATTGAGAACAAAGAAGTACTTTCAAAAAGAGGTTGAAATCGAAAGTGGTGATGTTATTACTGGAGAAACTGAAGGAAGGAATCCATTTTTATCATTAGCAACTTAGTACAAATGATCTAAATTGGTAGCCATGTGAACGAAGTCAGTAACTCGGTTTACCAAGCGAGGAGCCTGCCAGCAACAACAGCTGGTCCCAGGAGCCTGGCTTCCTGAAAGCCCGAGGATGCCACAGCTCAGTTCAGTCACCTAAGGACTGCCAGGCTCCCTCGCCGTGTCTGTCTGTCTGTCTCTCACACACACACACACACACACACACACACACACACACACTTAACACCAGCCCTCGGAATGTGGGAAGCAGCCTCCAGCAGCAGTAACGTTTCATCAACAAGGATTCATTCGTCTTCTCAAATATTTATTGAGGACCTACCCTGAGCCAGACGTGATTCAAATGCGGTCCCTCCCCACACTCACAAAATACACAATCCAAAGTGACAATGAGAAGATCATGCTCATCACAGCAGCCTACCTGTGGGAGGGAACAAGCCAAGAGCGGGATATGCAAAATGCCACCTGGAACTTCTGCCAATCTTTGTTTTCAGGAGCAGAGAGCCCCTGGTCGCCCCTCTACTCCCAGGTAATACTTCAAAGACCTTGGCTTGCACTTGATTGAGTAGGATTGAGGAGTGGAGGGAAGGGTTTGGAGGCAGCAGTGAGATCCCAGCCCCTCCTGGCTACAGTTTCAGGCTAGGGCTTGCTGACAACTGGTGCAGCCCCTCCTGGCAGTGATGGGTCCCTCCTTCCCCACACTGACCCAGCCTCCCCAGTGTTAGAGAGCCAGGGTCTGAAAGTGGTAAGTTTTCTCCCCCAGGTAGACCGTCTCCTGTTGTACCTCATCTTGGCCTCAAAAACAGTAGATAAAAACTGGGAGTGACAGGTTGTGGAAAATGAATCCACAAAAATTATTAAAATCTGTCATCTGTGCCTAGGGTCTTATTAATTGCCTTGTAACACAGACTACCCACAATATTTAGCACGTGTCAGATTCTGAGTGTAGTTTCTCCTGTAGGATGATGTATTAGCCTTTACTCAGAAATCTCCATGGCTTCTGATTACAGACTCCTGCTCTACAAGTCAGCTGCTGTGACGGCCATGGGGCTGATCCAGGTCTGCTCCACAATGCGTCCCTTAGGCCATCCGGGGGCCCAGGTAGAGGAGCAGTGTTCCCTGGGGCATGTTCTTCTTTCTCATGGCAGAAGCACAAGAGGCCAAGCCAACCCCTGCAAGCACAACATTGCCCCTGCCCACACGCGATGTATAGCGGGTGTACTCATTCTGTTGGCCAAAGCACAAAGCCACACCCCACCCTCTGGGGTGGGCCACTACATGCCCAGGGAACAATGACAATCTGCACTGATGTCGCCAGATAGTTTTAAAGACTGGAAAGGAATCGTGAAACTTGCGGCAGATAGTGAATGATTTTCCTCCCCTGTGTTACAAACCTCCTGTAATTTTAAAAAGTTGTTTCTAATAAAATTTAGGGAATCTGTTTGGAGGGAGGGAGACAAGGGATGTGAGGTGAAATGGAGAAAACCCTGCGGTTAGACCCCTCCGGAAACTAGGGGAGGCTCTGCCCAGGACAGTTTTAGGTCAAAAAGGGACTGGGAGCCCAGCCAGGGAGGGGGCGCCAGGACACGTGGAAGAAGGGAGTCTAGATGGGCCTTGGCAGGCACAGGACAGAAGGGGCAGGCCCTCCCAGCCACCTGCTCTGGGGTTCAGGGTGGCAAACGACAGGGCTGGTTCCATCAAGAGAACCTTCTGGAGAGTACAGCAGTTCCACGGTGATGGGAGGCCTTGGATCTAGTCAGCAAGTAGAAGTAGACCAAGTATTTTATTTATTTTTTTTATTTTTATTTTTTGCACTTAACCACTAAATCTTTATTAATTGAATTTTTATTATAACATCAATACAATATTAGTAAATAGAAATACAGCAATAAAATGGGGAAGGGTAGGGAGGTGGTTGGGGTAGGGAGAAGAGGCAGGGGTTAAGTAGGAGGCCCACAGAGAGGGTTCTTCTTCATCACTTTTCTGTAACTTCTATGAATATTTACCATCCATCATTACCAAGTTTATTCCGGCAAGAATTCCTCAAAGAGTATCTACTTGTCATGACTCTCCAAAGCCTTTGCTCACAATCTGGATCCCTGGAGTTAACACCCAGGGCAAAGAGCCTCTTTTAAACTATTCATCCAATCACTTTTGAACTTTTTCCCACTAGAGTTTTATCCATGTCCAATTTGCTCTAAATAGGTTCATCTCCCTGTAGTTCCCTCTGAGTTTATTTGCAAACTTTAAGGGTAACAATCATAGGGTAAAGGATCACAAGTAGGTACACATGTCCACTTAGAGTTATCTAATATCTAATGATTTTTCTAGAGAACTGTGCTCTTCCCTTACCTCGGGGAAGGTGAATGGGTTTCCATCCTGCCCCAATCTGGAAGCAGACTTCCCCTGTTCCTACTGAGTGCTTCAGCCCCTCGCCACTCCCCTGGGAGATCACTGGAACCCACACCAAGCAAGGATGGAGGGACCAAGCAAGAGTACTACACCCTCATGACTCCAAGTGATGACTGAGTCCAGGGTTGACTGAGGACTCCTGATGACAGCAACAACATTGTGGAAGGGACAGGGGTCTGTCATCCTTAGAGCTGTGGCTTGGGCGTCTTATTTTTGTTCATTTGATTTTGAGTGCAGTATCAGAGTTTAGAGGGATTTTTGTCTCCTTGATTAATATGATTTTCCAGGTTGTTGCATCCAGGATATAGTGGCAACAGCCTTAAACTTTGTTTTTGCTCCTACCCCAGAGCCCCTGGGGAGGGTCTGGCTACCCCTGCCCAGCCCCGCTGTCAAGGAAACTCCATCAGAAATTCAACTGGCTTCCAAACTGGGAAGAAAAAAAAAAAAAAAAGTAGACCAAGGGAAGTTGAGCTGCCCCCAACCCAGGGCACCTGGCGAGGCTGCTGCAGCTGGTGCTCCCATGCTGGCCGCCTGACACTGCCACCAGGGCCATCCCACTGCCACAAGCAATCCTCAACTGTCCCTGCCATGGGCTCAGGATTAAAATGCCAGGAGGGATGTTATGGGCAAAGCTCAGGTCTGCCTTCATCTCCGTCAGAGACTCCCTGGCTCCTTCAGCCTTGGTAGGAGGGAGGCCTCTGCTGGAACCCCGTAGAGGATCCCCCCTCCCCCCGCCCCGCCCCCCGGGGACGCCTGCGGGGCTCAGCGGTCGAGCATCTGGCCTTCGGCTCAGAACGTGATCCCGGGGTGTCAGGATCGAGTCCCGCATCGGGCTCCCCACAGGGAGCCCGCCTCTCCCTCTGCCTGGGTCTCTGCCTCTGTGTGTGTGTCTCTCTAATGAATAAATAAATAAAATCTTAAAAAAAAAAAAAAGAAGAAGAAGAAGAGGATCTGCGCCCTAAGGAAGGATGCTCAGAGATGGTAAGTCCGCTCCACCAGTCCCTTGCCCCGTCCCCACCCCGCCTGCTCACCTGTGCCTGCGGCCAAGCAGCGGCTCGTCCCCCAGGGAGGAGGGGGCAAGCCACAGGCCCCCCCAGTCGCGTCATCCACCTGGCCACCCAGGGCATTTGGACAGGTCTCACGGTCCTCTCCTTGGTCCTGTTTCCATCTGTCCCCAAGGTGTGGATGCCTGCAGTCACCGCAGCGGGCTGCGTGCTGCAGCCGCGGGCCCAGGGGTCGCCAGGAGGCGGCTGGGCGGGAGGCGGCCCCAGCCTTGGTCTGCAAGGCGCCACGGTGACCGCTCCTCCTACTCCTCGAAATGGGTTTTGCCTGCAAAACTACGGTCATTTTGCATTAAAGAAAGTTAACATGACGGATTTATTGTTTTTTTACGTGAATTAATATTTTTTAAAGCTATTGGCTTTAATTCCATCCATGGCAAATGTTGACACAATTCAAACAAAAGCTCCTGGGGGTCCTCAGTCATTTTTTTTAAGTTTTTTTTTTTTTTATTTATTCACTCATGATAGACATAGAGACAGAGAGAGAGAGGCAGAGACACAGCAGAAGCAGGCTCCATGCCAGGAGCCGAATGCGGGACTCGATCCCAGGACCCCAGGA